CGCACAAACGTTTAAAGATACATTAAGTTCTCAATATCATCAATAACGTCCCAAATTTTTGTAAGATACCGGTTTGATGTTTCTGATTTCAACTTTTTCCATATGATTTTTTTTGTTGTATATTGTAAAGAAGAACGTAGAAAAGAGTTGTATTCTGAGGTTTAATGGTAATCTCGCCGGTTCGAGGATTACGAGTTGTCTTTTGAGGTAACAAGATAACCTCACCGTTTCTGGTCGTCGTACCTTGTATCTTCAAACTGATGCTATTGACTATATTCATTTGAGAAGGTTGCAACACCAAAGTCTTCCTCCACCACCTATTCTTCTCTGCGTCTTCCACAACCGAAAGTTCCATCACACCTTCCCTTTTAATATCGGAAATCTCTAACATACTACTGTTCCACCGTATTCTATAAGATCAGTCTTATTACGTCTCCAAAAGGTATCTTGATGATCAGGTACTCGGAGCATACTAATTTCCTCAGAACTAATATCAAAACTGACGAGCACAACATATACACACGTGAACCCAATTTCAATTATGATTGGCCACCATAAATGTTTTAAATGACAATGAATTTTTTTTTTTTTATAGGCCTCGGAGATTAGGCTCATACTAATTCCCGGCCGTTAATGAAAAAAGTTTTATTTTATTTTAATGATTGACTATTTTTTTGTTTCAGTTGTTCAGTTTCATGTCAAATTTATCTTTTGAGAAAGTACAGTTAGTTTTTTTTTTTTGCTAAAGAAAAAAGTAGGGTTAGATGTTCAATCATTTTACAAGATTTTTAAATAAATTTATAAATGACAAAATTAGTCAAGTTAAATAGATATCTCTAGAGTACAATGCGATGTTACTAATTTAATAGTAAACTTAAATTAGTAACCATAATGCTTTGGTGTCAGTGTCACCAACTACAATGCGATGTTAAGATCCTGTATCTTAAGCTTCTTAATTTGTTTTGTCTCCCACCACTTGGGAACAAACCATTGACTTTGCTAACTACATTATCATTCCATAAATCACGAATTTGTATAGCATACTACAATTTTTCTGATACTGAAATTACACGAATTTACAAACTGTTGATCGATTCAATATGATTTTTATCTGTTTATAATTATTTCATCACTCTTTTATCCAAGAAGAAAAATAATTGGTAAAAAAAGAATTGTTTTTTCACTCAAAATGTAGGTTGGATAGTATATTTTGTAAAATTTTAACGCATATTTAAACTAGTTTTAATTCATGTAGTTTTAAGCTTATTGATCGTAAACAGTTTGAGTCCATGTATATTATAATTAATTAGCCTAGGTTTCACTGTTCTTTGGGTATCCTTCTATTTTTTTATTCTATTTTTTGGGTATCCTTTTTTGTATCCTTTTTAGGTAGATTGGTCCAAACAATAAACATTTTATTGGTTTGTTGTTAACAGTTAACCATGATGTTGTAACTTCATAATTATACATTTTCTTGGGATTTACTTAAAAGAAAATCTCCAGCAACTATAGTTGGGAGGAAACCATTTACAAATCATTCATCACCAACCAA